ATTTCCCTTTCTTCTCTTTATCTTTTTCTTTTCAGCTTAATGAAATATTTCTGTTGTTTTTTCTTATTACTTGCCAGTACTATCTCTCTCTCTCTCTCTCTCTCTCTCTCTCTCTCTCTCTCTCTCTCTCTCTCTCTCTCATCTCTCTCTTCTCTCTCTCTCTCTTCTCTCTTCTCTCTCTCTCTCCTCTTCTCTCTCTTTCTTTCTTTTCTTTCTTTTTCTCTCCTGTTCGGCTCCACTCGCTCGCCTCTCTTTCTATCTGTCTACCTTTCATTTTCAGTCAACTATTCCTGCCGTAAATAATTAGGAGGAAAAAAGAGAGGAGAGAAGGAGAGAGGAGGGGAGAGAGATAGAGAGGAGATGGAGACGATTTTTTCAGTACAAATGAGTAAATGTAATTATATATATATCATATACTATATTATTATATATATATATATATATTATATTATATATATATTACATTCTATATATATATATATTCTTATATATTCATTATTAACATACATACCTATATCTAACAATAGATATCTATATATATGTTATAAACGAATACTCTCCCGTATACACATATATGCCGCTGGCCAGTTGTTTCTCTCCCCCCTCTCTCTACTCCCCCCGTGTGCCCCAACTCCCATCCAGCTGACCTCGTCCCCTCGGCCCACCGCCGTCTGTGTGCGTGTATGTTATATATACTCTAATATTCTTATTATATTATAGTGAGAGATAGACGAGACGACGAGACGAGTACGAGAGAGAGGAGGACCCCGACCTGAGAGAGGACAGGAGAGCAGAGAGGCAGACAGAAACAGACAGACAGACAGACAGGACAGACAGACCAGACAGGCAGACAGAGACAGGGAGAGAGCAGAGAGAGGGTAAGAAACAGAGAGGAGAGACGATAGAGACAGACAGACAGACAAGACAGACAAGAGGAGACAGACGAGAGAGAAAGGTGAGAGAGGAAAGGGAGAGACAGAGGAGGAGGAGAAGACGAGAGAGAGAGAGAGAGAGGAGGAGAGAGACCAGACAGACCAGACAGACAGGATGAGGAGAAGAGAAAACGGGAGAGACAGAGAGACAGGAGAGAGAATGGACAGAGAGAGCTGAGAGAGAGAGAAAAGGAGAGACGAGGACGGAGAAAGAGCACCAGACAGACAGAACATAGACAGAGGAGAGCGAGAGAGAGGAAAGAGGAGAGAGAGGAGAGAGAGAGACAGAGGACAGAGAGGCGGAGAGAGAGATAGAGATGAGAGAGGTGGAAGAGACAGGAGTCAGAGACAGAGAGAGAGAGAGGAGGAGAGAGACAGAGAGGGGAGAGAGTCGAGAGACGAGACAGAGACAGACGCACAGAGACAGAGAGAGAAAGGACAGAGGACAGAGGCATGACGAGAGAGCGAGAGAGAGAAGACGGAGAGAAGATGAGAGAGGGAGAGAAAGGGGGGTGGGGCGGCAAATCCAATCCACCCATTCCCGCCCACACACACACACGGCTCCTGGGTGGGTCTTGGGGGGGTTGGGGGACTGGGGTGGTGTTGCGGGTGGGGCTAGAAGGTGGTTGGGGGCGAGGAGTACTCGGTAGTGCGTGGGGGGACAGGAGGGCTTGGTGGATAGGTCTGCTGCGGAAGGGAGAAGCAGGGAGAATTCGAGGACGGGTGGAGGACAAGTACTGGGACAGTAACAGTAGTGAGGAAGGAGGAAGATCTTGAGGGGGGAGAGGGAATAAGGAAAGAAGTAGGAGGAGGAAGATGAGGAGATGAAGAATTAGGGAAAGACAGTAGGAGGAGGAGGAAGATGGGGGGAGGTTGGAGGAATAGGGAAAAGGAAGTAAGGAGGAGCGGGAACAAAGGAAGAAATGTGGAGGGAAGGGAATAGGGATAATGGTGAGGAAGATGAGGGAGGTGGAGGAATAGGGAAAGAAGTAGGAGGAGGAGCGCGATGGGCGAGGAGATGAGGAAGGTTGGAGAATAAGGAAGAAGTAGCAGGAGGAGGAGGAAAATGAGGCAGGGGGGGAACAAGGAAATAAGGAAGGAGTTAAGAGTAGGAAGATGAGGAGCGGGAGGAAATAAGGAAAGTAGGAGGAGAAGACGGAAGATGAGGAGGTGGGCAGGAATTGGGAAGAAGTAGCGAGGAGGAGGAACAGGAAGATGTTGGGAGGGAGCGAATAGGGGAACGAAGGAAGAGGAGGAAGAGGAGGAGGTGGAGGAATAGGGAAAGAAGTAGCAGGAGGAGGAGGGGAGGAATAAGGAAAGTAGGAAGAGAAGACGGAAGATGAGGAGGTGGAGGAATAGGGGAAAGAAGTTTGGAGGAGGCACAAGATGAGGAGGCGGTTGGGGCTGTGTGATGGGGCGGGGGTTGGTTTAGAGAAGGAGGAAGAGGCAGAAGAGAGGAGAATAAGGAGGAGGATAAAGAGGAATGAATGAAAGAATGAGAATCGTAGGCATAGAAGACGAGGAGGAGGAGGTTGGTGGGGGAAAGAGAAGAAGAGGGGGGAGGGGGG